TTTCTGAGGCAAGTGCGCTACCACTGCGCCACGGCTGCTATTTAAATTCACTGTTACGTCAGAAAAGTTCTGATAGGCTAAAAAATTATTTAAAGTTGTAAATTAGGGGGCCCCAAAAAATTTGGGGGCCCTAGGCCCGGGCCTTACGTGCCTTGTGGAAGATCAGGCTCTGCTTGCACCTTACACTTATATTATTCTGCTACTACGTCGCCTATACAAAAGATTCACATTTATGCTGTTTAGATTTATGCAGATTCGCAGATATTCGCAGAGTGCAGCCGTGGATCAGTGGTTAGAGCGCTTGCTTTATAAGCAGAAAATCCAGGTTCGAAACGAGCTCTGGACATATTTTCACGTCACGGTAAGGAAGGAAGCGTGAACTTCCTAGTTAAATGCACTTCCGCAGTGCTCTATGACAAGACCGTTAGGTCTTCTTGGGGCACCTAAATAACAAAAAAAAAAAAAAAGATATGAATATTGCATTTATGAAAGGCGAGTTCTATAAAATTCTCGTAGTATACAACTCTTTCTGGTTTGTATTTTAGTCTTAATCAAATGGATTAGACTATTTGAATACATAAAATCATGAACACAAGGTCTATCAGAAGGTGGGGAGGATTTTCAGAAGACGAAATTCAGTGGCTTTAATTTTTCTGAATTTTTAATTTTTTTTAGGTATACCTGCAGGTATCTACTGATATATATATATATATATATATATATATATATATATATATATATATATATATATATATATATATATATATATATATATATATATATATATATATATATATATATGTTTTTTATTGAAATATCTTTAAATAAGAAAGGAAATCTAAATAAGAATCAAGTTCTTAAAACAAGAATCAAGTTCTTAAAATAAGAATCAGGTTCTTAAAATAAGAATCAAGTTTTTAAAATAAGAATCAGATTCTTAAAATAAGAATCAGGCTCTTAAAATAAGAATCAGGTTCTTAAAATAAGAATCATGTTCTTAAAATGAGAACAAAAGTTCTTAAAACAAAAACAAAAGTTCTTAAAATTAAAACAAAAGATCTTAACTTAGAATCTTGGATTTTGCTGTGTTTAGTACCGCTGTAAAAAGACGTCGTAACATATTTAGAGGTTAAATATTTCACGTAGTAAATAAAAAAAATTTTGCAATAATAAAAGAATAACAAGATTTAAATTTAAAAAATTTAAAAAATAAATAAAAAGTTTACGAAAAATTTAATTTGACAAATGAGAAAACAGAAATATAGGCTAGCAGATTTACTTTTTAGGTATATGAATTGACATGATTGCGCAATAAAATGTTATAAAATAGATTTTTTTTAATAATAGATCACTTAAATAATACACTGTATAAATACACAATCTGTTTCGATGCTAAATTAACTAAGCTAACTGATATAAAAAACCAAGTTACCAAGAATTAAGAAAAAAGAGTCAGATAAGTTCAAACTTGGTTGAGTCAGATAAGTTGAAACAAGGTGGAATTGATAACAAATTACTAAAATTATACGTTTGATTGTTAACAAAATAACTTGATGCAAGTTATTGAAAGAACGTGTTTGAATGCTTTTAAAAACAAACAGTTTGTTAGATTTTTTGGACTATTTATGTCCCAATTTTTTTTTTTTTTTTTATGCATAGTATAATAGTATTATAAAATTGCAAATTATTTTTATGAAATAACTTAAATTATGTATTTATTATAGTTATTTGCTTTCATCACACCTTTTCCAAAAACCGTCTTCGTAAAAAGGACGCAAGAAGGCCATGCAATTGTCAATATTTAAAACAAGTTAATATTTTTTAACTGTATTTTAACCGCTGAATGACGTTTTTACTTTAATATGGCCTTCTTTTAAAAAAATAAAATACTGGGGACCATGTGGAATTTCTTCATCAAGATCAGCCATGCATATCAACACTCCTTGGTATAGTTTATTTAATAACTAAAATAGGATAACAGTAATTATAAATGTTTAATAAAAAAACACAATTTTTAGTGATTTTCCTCTTTTTGAGACGCAGCAGCAATTTATTTTTGCTCTTTAAATAATTTTTTGGCAGTTTATTTATCTAGTTTTTTTTTTTATTTATTCTTGTTCAACTTCGTCAAAAGCTATAGCATCGGCTGAGGTCATTTTATAATCGGCTGGTCGTTTTAACTTTTTCACCTTTCTCCTTTCTATTATCTAAAGGTTAACGTTTCTAACTTTTAACTTTAGATACTTAAGTTAACTAAGTTTAGATTCTTAAAATTATACGTGTATAAATGATAAATACCTGTATCTGGAATCAGGTATATATTTTTTTTTATTGCTTGTTTTTTTCTTATTTTGTATTTATTTTTAGAAATAATAACAATATTGCATTTTTTTTCGCATATTATTAACCAGCGTCAAATTTAGCACAAATTAGTGCTTATACAATTTTTATTTTATTTGCAAAACTAAGTGTTTTTTTTCTTTTTTTTTTTGCTAATTTAATTTTGTTAGATTTAATTTAAAAGCTAACACAATTGTAAATAGATTTTCGAATTATTTTTTTTTACCATTCGATTTGTCTTGTGGTAAAGTTTATTTATATTAAAAATAATATTAATATATTCGATATAATATGAGAGATACAAAGCTTTTTATAAAACCGTTCGTAATTAGGTCTCATCAGTGATTAGGTTTTTTAAAGTTATATTACATAAGTTTAAAATGATAAGTGAAAGCTATAAAAATAAAAAATTATATAAAAAGAGTTTGCCATATATGCAATATATACCATTTATTGCCATCAGGAACAATAAAGTTTACTAAAAATGTTTTACAAATAAAGGTGACCCAAGAAAAAATGTTTACACACAAAAATGTTAACAGTTTAAAAAAAATAAACACAATAAGTTGAAAAATTTATGGTTATTTGTGGTAAACTTTTATCATAATTATTTGACAATTTTTGATAATTATTAATTAATTTTCGTTATTTTTAACTTTTTTTACTTATTTATTTTTTGCAATGTTTTAAATTAATTAAAGTTTAATAAAAGCAAAAACGTACTTTCACTTTCATTTTATAACACTTTCAGAAAATCGGAAACAGATCTGAAAAATTAGTTTCATTTTTTTATTATTATTTATGATTATTAGTTATTTTGGTCTAACAAGTTTTATCACAGAGCACCGCGGAATAGCATTCAAAGTTCACGCCTTCATCCTTACAAATGATGAATATATGGAGCCGCCTTTAAAACACAAACATCGGTTCTGAGGCCAGAACTTGCAACGGCTCAACCACAACACCATGGCTGTTATATTATATACAACAACGTTGATAAAAGTTTAATGTATTGATAAACGTTGATAAAACATTGTTCTAATTATTACCTGCAATAGTTTTGATAAAATAATGTTCTATGCAATTTCATGCAAGAATATTATTGTAACAATGTTGCATGCAAGATTGTTAAAATTTTAATCGACTATAATTAGTTAATATAATTATCATAAAATTATTTGATTTTACATACTGGGTTTATTTTGCATAATTAAAAAAATAGGAAAATAAAGCAGCAAATATTCGTTACGTTGTAGGTTTTATTTTTACCTTAAAATATGTTTGCATCTTTTTTTTCATAAGTTACAAAATTTAAAATATTTTTTTCTCTCACACTTATCAGAATACGTATTATCTGAATTTGTATTTTTTTTTTTTTTGTGGGGGAGGGGGTGACCTATTGAAAAAAATTTTAAGATTTTGGGACCCTTATATAAGGGTCCAAAAATCTTAAAATTTTTTTCAAAAGGTTTTATTAATTGAGTATACCGAAAAAAAAAAAAAAAGCCCCTAAATTTGCAAATACGTTACTTAAATTCGCTGCGCCCCCCTTTCTCCGATTGGGTGTGTGGGGGAGCCTAGCCGCGGCTCTGTTGAGAAACAATGTATATTATAAATATTATAACTTTAATTCAATATAATAGACAAATTATTACAATTTAAAAATTACGATATTGTTACGGTATGACGAAAATGTGTTTTTCAGTTAAATGTAGTTTTCTAAATGAAATTTTAATTAGAATCGGTATAGCTAAAAATTAAAACTAATTATTAATATATTTTAAATATCATATTTGGTAACAACAGTATAGCAACCAAGTTAAAATTACATATATTTTTTTTATTGTTAGGGTTTTTTATTAACTTAATTCTAAACAAAATTCTTTCTCCCAGCTTTTTCCTTTAATCATTAGTGATATAAACATGTAAGACAAGATTGTATTTGTATTATATATATATATATATACTTGTATTTATACTATATATATATAAATTGAATTAACAACAATTAATCAGCAATCAAAATAAACAAAGACTGAAAATAATTCTATATCGCGAATATTGAATAAGTTATTAGTTTCAAAAATATATTTTTTTTAGTTTTAAAGCTCAAAAACTCTAACCATATGTTGCTCATTCCCTGTAAATACTTTTTCTATTTTAAAAAAAGATTTATAAAAATAAAGATCATTGGTTTTTCTAAACAAACTGAGTATAATTGATGCAACAACGGGTTTAATCAATACATAAACGTTGTAAACCCGTTTAGATATTTATTAAACTTGGAAGCTAACAAAGGTATGGCTGTTGGACAAAGTTGTTAAACGTATAACTCACATCTTTATTGGTGACTCTCAGTTATATTTAAAATGGATTATATCTTGCAAGTTTTTTCAGGAAAAAAAGTTGTTGTTCAATAAAATATATATGTTTATATTTTTTGTCAGTATTGACCAATATTTTTATCATTACCATATTTTTCATTTTTTACAAAATGTAAAATATCATTGTATTACATAACTTATCGCAGCTTTAAAGTTTTTTTTGAGGGAGGGGAAGATGGAGGGAAGATAAATGGCAGGATTAGAGGTGTCTAACAGTCTAAAACTACACCCAAATAAATAAATCTAAATTGCCGATAAAACAAAAAACAAAAGATAAAAGTTAAATTAGTAGATTTTTTTTTATAATGTATTTACATAGTATTTTATATTACACAAAATTTTCAGAAATTTCATAATGTAATCAAATAATATTGGTAGCATCTATAAATTATTCACATTTTATATCACCAGTTGAAGGTTTTTTATTTTTAAATGAAATAATCGCTTAGCTTTAAGCATTTTTTTAGTGTTAGTTAAGTTTTCTTCACAAAATTTTGAAACGCAGTCCACGTACTCCTGCATGCAGCGATTTAGTTTTTTAAAAAGGTGCCAAGTAATAGGCTCCGAAACAGTCGGTTGACATAGATTATAATAGGAAGTACACGAGTGACAGAGAAACTGGTTTTCCATCTTCTTTGAAGAAACATATGCCAAGGTAAAGATAAGTAAAACAAACTTCATTCTCAACATAATTTATCTAAATCATAAACAAGTCAAAAACTTCAAAAAATTTTAATTTTAGACAGATTTAGACAAACATTAAACACGCATGCGCTTAACTAATTTACTTACATCAGCACTGAAAATTTATTTGTAAAATATTGAAACAAGCTGTTGTACAAAAAAAATTTTGAAATTTCAATTTTGTTGTATAATGTAATGTAGTATTCAAACCCGGTGTGTATTTGAACTATTTTTATATTTTGAATTAGACGAGTTATCTAAGTTGGGTAAACTTTAAAATTCTTATATGAGATTTTGCCGCTATATCGTGCAAATGAAAGGTTCATAAATTATTTAATAATATCGTATAAATTGAAAATAAAGAATATTATCTGAAAATAGCGTGATAAAAGAATTCTCGCCGCGTTAAAATGAATCGTTGTTTCAGCACCTTATCATCTAGAAGAATTCATTTTTCCTGGGGTATGTAAAACCTTGTTAATAATTCTGAAAATAATAATTTTTGCGGCTAAAAAAATAAAATTTTAAACAATAATTTATGAATAATTAAAAGAAAAATAAACAAAATTGTTTTACAGGAACTTCTGAGAATCTAAAAAAAACTTATTCAATTAGTAATAAAGAACAAACCGTTTATAAACACTCTGCTTCCAATCCGTTACTTTTGCTTATTTGAAAATGGTTTCTGACTGAAATAATCTCTAACAATGAAAGCGCAAAGTATTTATTAATTACAATTAAAAATGTACATAAACTAATTCGCAGTTATTACTTGAGGTTTATTGGCATTTATAAGTAATTTATTTTTTAATATTGGGTCAGTAAGTAGGAGACAACGTAATTAAGTTTTTTTCAATAACAATAGAACTAAAAAAACCGCCGCCAATTTTTTCGTTGATAAATCTATCAACATACGTGACTTAAAAACAAATTCGGAAAAGTTCGAACATTTGCAAACATCCTGTTGATTGTGCTACAAAAGATGTTATCATTTATTTATACGATTTGTTAAATTGTCATCTTACCCAATTTGTTGTTTGATATTTGTTGTTTAATATTTATTTGACCCATCTCATATTTTTTTAATCTTCCAATGATTATCTATAAAGCTTATATAGCATATATCTATATAGCATCAAATTAAAAATCAAATGAAAATAAAAACCTTAATAATAAAGTTAAGACTTTTCTCCCTAATAACAACAACATTATTATAATAAAGGTTTGAGTGGTTTTTATAATGTTTCATGAAAAAAAGTTAATAGTTATACTAATATAAAAAAGCATGGTTTTTCGACTATTAATTATAAGTAATAAAAATGTAAGAGTTTTTCTCGGAGATGAACTTGGTGCTTGTTTACTTGCCAAGAGAAAAATTTTAAAAAAGTTTATAAAAGAAAAGAAAAAAACAAAAAACAAAAGAGAAGAATAAAAAAGAAAACAAACATTGACTACTTTAATTATTTTTTTAATATAAACAAATATATATCAAAGTACTTTGTGTCTAGTTCTCTTTATTTTATAATGCAAAATTAAAAAAGATTTAATGCAATTAAAGAAATATAATATTGATCATTTGATAACTTCTATCTATCATTATTGTTTAAAATAAAAAATTTAATTAGTTTTTTAAGTTATAGTTCAAACTATTAATTAAATTTGTTTATTTTTAAACATTGATATTAAAGAGTTAAAATAATCAGAACGTGTAAACATTTTTTAATCTTTTTCTGTAATCATTTGACAACCCTTTTGAGAATCTCTTTAATAAACCCTTAAAAACCTTTTAATAACAATTTTGGTAACCCCAGAACAAAATTTTATGATCTTTATTTTATTACTTGTAAACGACGTAAAACCGGACGTACGTAGAATAAAAAGCTATTTTTATAAAACATTTAATCTAACACAAATACAATATTTAAATAATATACCGGTACCGGTACACCGGTAAACCTTAATACAGACATTATTTCCTCTATATTTTGCAAAATTAAAACTATGTTTTTATCCGTTTTACATTTGATTTTTTCTAATTATACTCTATTTACATATTTCTCATTATGTTTAAATACTGTTACTATTTTTAAATTCTAGTTTAAAAAAATTTAGAGTTGAAACATTTGAACTTATTAAATATTTTTTTTTCAGACAAATTTTTTTATATTTTTTTTGTTGGAAAAAACGAATTTAAAAGAGATTTTTCATTCAAAATAAATTAGGTTCGATTAGATACATCAATTCTGTGCGCAAAAGGAAAAGGGAGATAAGTCAAAAAATGTCTACAATGAGTTATACACGGCTATCGAATAATAATATTATCAGGTATCAAGGAAAAAAAGTTGAGATTTTAAATAACCCCTCAAAAAATGAGCACTCGAGTCATTGAAATCGTGCTTTTCAAAAAAGTTGCAACAGCATCAATTTTATATTGCTTCTGCTGTTAAGTGACATTTCATGACTCTCTCCCTTTTTCTTTTGCACTCAGAATTAATAAAGTAAAATATCACTTAGTTAAAAAATGTAAAAAAATTAATTTATTTAGTAAGTAATTCATAAGTTTAGAATGCGCAAGGGCTTAGGGGCTTGGCCCCAAACTTATTGAATTTAGACTTTAGCGTTCTCTACTTTGTAAAAAGCTGACATCTGGCTACATGTTTACATCTGACAATCCATTAAACATTTAAAAATAAGTTATTTTTTAGTTCAAATAAAGAGATTACAAATATTTCAAGCTTCTAATGAGTCTCAAGAGAGTTAGAGATCTGTAAAAAAACATAAAATGCAGCCAGCATAAAAACAATAGAGTTGTTAATTTTGTGAGTTAAACTATGCTTTGTTTCTTAACGCGTTCACAAGAAATAGCTTTAACACATTAGCAGTAGTTTACATTTATATTCACCTTTTTTCCGTTTCAATTAAAAAACATAAACTTTTAGGAAAACATTTGAATTGTCCAACTCTACATTAAAATTAACGAATTGATAAATAACAAGTGTTTATTAGTACAATAATGCAGGTTAGTGAATACTTTTCAGGAATAGAAAGACAAGTTGAAACAGTTGCTTGCTCAGAATCAAAAAATGTTGATAACATTCTAGATAATAGTTACTTTATTATTTGTTCAGTCGGTTGATGAAATTGGTGTTGAAACACGTGTTAATGAGTCACCGTCTAATTCTTTACTATGACTGCCATTGTCCCGGTTTTTATGTAATAGAGAATAGCACCTAACTAAAACAAAATTTTTATTGCGTTCTTCTACTGAAAAACCATAACAGTCATATTGTTTGTTTAAGACAGTCCATCAAAACAATGAAAAAAAATTTAAAATAGCTGGAAAGGAAAACATGAATTTTACATAACAGATGAAGTCAAAGTGTTTTTTTCAATCTACTTATAAAAATGCCAATATGAGAAGGCCTTTACCGCGTAATTTAAAAGAAAAAGACTTGCACGACTTGAATTTATCCTACTCGTGGACAATGACCCCTGAGCATCTAGCAAATGTTAAAAAACTTTTTATTGGTCAGTGCATGGATAAAGGATCCATTGAAGCTTTCTACAAAGTTATCTTAGAATATTATGGAAAGCTAAAACTGAATTGCTAACTATTTGTTCATTTTAAAACGAGATTAATTGATGGTTTTGAGAGATGGTTCATTTTAAAACGAAAATTTTAAGTGCGCATTTTCTTTACAATTTTTTAGGATGTAGCAAATTTAGTTCTAAAACAGTATCCTTTTTTCTATTAATTAATGATTTAGATTTTTAATAGAAAAAGACACATTTTACTCAAGAGTAAGTATTTGAAATAAATGTAAAAAAACATGACAAATTATAGCAATTAATAGAGCAAAATAAACTGTACAAAAAAAATTGTTTTCTAAAATGTTCTTGGAATTTATAAATGTGCATTAGAAGATTTAAAAAAAAAATAAAAAATGTACAATTTAATGTCCAGTTGGCACAGAACAATAGTTAGACATGTAATATTAAAAAACGTCGTATAGAAGTGTTACAGACGTCTTTGTCAGCTAAAATGTTGACACAATTCTTTAAAAACGCTGTCTGCATAATATAAGCTGTTTAAAAAATGTTATTATTTTATCAATATAAATCAAATATATTTTATCAATATAAACCAAAATGATAATTTTTTGTATATTTAATTTATCTTAGTTACTCAATGTTTGTGATTAAACTTTTTAATTAACACTATTTAAACATTTTGGCATTTAATAAGTATTACTACCTTTCATAGGGAAGGGTGGGTTATTCTGAGCCTATTATTTCCTATTTCAGACTTAGAGCAAAAAGTATATATGCCAAAACAATTTTTTTTTTGAAAAAAAACTCTTAAAATCATGATTAGACATCATATTCAGTAAACTACATCAAAAAAAGCTTATGCATAATTTTAAATTAAAAAAAGCACTAACTTGAGTTGTATTCTATAGACCCACCTTAGTTACCATTTACCCATTTAGTGGCGTAATGTGGGTCCAAGCTACATTATTTTCTTTGTTCAATGAAATATATCAACCTATAGTAAAATACGACTAACGTCATTCAGTATATATTATATTTAAATTATTTGAAACATAATAGTACTTTAATTGATGTTTTAAACTCAAAAAAAACTTTACTCGTTCAAAGCGCTAAATTAGAAACGCAAAATGAATATTTTTGTTCTATCTCTGATAGCCAATTTCTAAGAAAGCAGAGCATTCTTATGGTTCATTTTCCATAGTTGTTTCTTTTTTAAGAATTTTTTTAATATATAGAATAAATTATATTATAATTCTTCAAATTGAATATATGGTATTCAAATTAAAAAGTCGAAGTACTTATAAAAGTCAAACCATGACAAAATTATGTTTAAGAAAGAATTTAAAGCAAAAACTTAATTGAAAATTATCCATAAATTTTTTGTGTTATTTATTAGAGATTCATTATCCGAAAAAAAACAACATGTTTATATAATAAAAAAAACTGCTACGCAACGTTTTCTACTAGTTTGATTGAAAACATGATTTTAATACTTCTTTGATGATCATCTAAAGGAATCCATGGCAACATTGCTTCAGAAAAATGAATCCAGAAACATAGTCAGACTTCAAATTTATACTAATTATCATTTTAAAATTATTTATTGTTGTATAAGCATTAGATTCTTAACAGCACAAAACATACTTCCATACAGACCCACATTACCCCACCCAAAAGTGTTGGTTATTTTAAAAAAACTAAGTATTATTCCGCCTTAATACTAATTGAATCTAATTATCTGGCAATTCTTTTTCCAGATAAAACATTTTCTATGCGTTAGAACCAGGGCTGTGGAGTCGGAGTCGGAGTTGCGGAGTTGCGACATTTTTAGCGGAGTCGGAGTCGCTAAACAAAATCGCGACTCAGACTCCAATAGTCGGTATAGTCAAGTACAAAACATTCAATTAACCTTATGTTCATACTAAATCTCAAAGAACGTATCATAAATTTGTCAAAAAAGAAATTTTTAACTTATCGCGTAATATTTTTTAAAGAATTCAAAGAATTTTTCAAAATTTTTGCTCTGGAGTCGGAGTTGGAGTCGGAGTCGGAGTCGGAGTTGTGCTCAAA